CTCTCTCTCTCTCTCTCTCTCTCTCTCTCTCTCTCTCTCTCTCTCTCTCTCTCTCTCTCTCTCTCTCTCTCTCTCTGTGTGGCATCCGGGAAAGATTCTGAAGCCTCTGACAGCAGCGAGAGTTGGAATGTATGATACAGGTAGACGGCAACCACACATCGTGAATGACATTGTATGATACATGTAGCTGGCCAACGCCGGTGGCTCGTCTGGTTCAGAGAAAGTTCCTTGTGACTTGTTGACTGACCGAATGGGCGTCATCACATATGGTATCCCGAGCCAACACCTGTTTAGCAGACATTTTGTTAAATTACACATTTTATAATTTATTGAATGGGATTGAAACCTACTTAATATTTGGCCCCAAGAATGTCACCATCTGACACGACTGAAAATGCCGGACCCCCTTCGATGTTTCGGGACTTCAGCTAAGTCCAGACTCCAGATGGATCCTGAGGAGGAACAACAGTGAAATTTTTAGGGCCAAATAAGTTGGTTTCAATTTCGCTCCAAAAACATAAAATGCCTGTTTTAACAAGATGGCTCTTTCTCCAGGTCGCACCACCTTCTTCCCCCGAATACAACGTACGGTCATTATAGCTCTGTATTTAGACTGAAAGGTACCCCCAATTCAGCTATAATGACCGTATGTTGTATTCGGGGGAAGACTGTAGTCAGCCCAGAAGAAGTGGCACTGCATGCATTGCCTGACCTGCATGGATGACAATGCCTCCAAGTAATTACTAGGTGAATCGCTCTTGGGGCTATGCCTCAGCAAGGGTGCAAGATTAAGAGGGCATGTCCTTTTTGCCACTTGAACCCAGTCGCTTTTCGCCTCTTTCGGTCTCCTCCAGCTGGTCCACCACGACGACGTTCGGGGTAAGAATCCTTTCCACGATGAGCTGTGCCACCCTCTCACCCTCCTCTATTTTGAAATCCTCATCTGAATGATTGGCAAGGATGAAATTAAGGGGGCCTCTGTAGTCGCGATCGATGACCCCACCTAACACATTGATGGCGTGGCTATCGGCGTGTAGTGACCGGGAAGCAATCCGTCCGTAGGTGCCTTCGGGTAGGGCGATCCTAAGGCCAGTCCTCACCTCACACTTCCCTTTGGCTGGAATAACTTCCGGATAAGCGCTTGCCAAGTCATAGCCAGCGGAATCGTACGCTCTTGTAGGGATTTTGGCCTTGGGTGCCACTACAACGACTCGGAGAGCACCACATCCAATGGCATTCGTTTCATCAACTTGAAGCTGCTTCCCGCCGTTGGCATTCATACCACAACCGTTGATCTCAGCGACAGCAGAATTATCCCGATGAGAGTCCGGAGGCACGTCCACTGCGGGCTCGTTCGCCCCCGACTCAATCCTCTGGACCTTACTATGAGGCTGCCGGGGGGCAGTGTCCGAAACAACGACGGTAGTCGCCGGCACATCGCCGTCGATTACAGATTCGGAAACGTCCATGATTGTCGTTGGATGATCAGCGCCGACAGCTTCCATGATGATAACCGTCACAACGGGGAGGCAAGCCCTCCACCTCTCTCCTCTCCTTCACTCGAAAAAATACTTTCTATGTCGACAAGGGAGGGAGCCTCCGGAAGGGTGTAGTGTAGGCGAGGAGAGAGCGGAGGAGGCCAGGTTAACGAATTTGATAGCCAGGCACGATATCCACAGGAGCGCTTATGAAGGGAGGAGTAGTAGGAGGAGGTGGTTGAGTAGGGAGAGATCCGCCAATGAACAGTTTCTGGAGCTCTTGGTGGCAATGGCTGTCCGCAAACAACCCCCGCAAATTGAATGAGTAATTCCTTACGCGTTGGGCGGGCACAGCGGCCAGCTGACGAAGGAAACTGACAGCCCGAGGCAAAAGAAGGTCGGATCTTCCGCTACCGGCCTGCAAGAAGAGAGCCAGTCCACAGAGCACACAAGAAAGCCGACCGAGAGAGAACAACCTGTGGGAGTTGTAATGAAAAAGACGTTCGAAAAAGAGCAACGTATGATGTACGGGGAGGACAGCGGCCAGCTGACGAAGGAAACTGACAGCCCGAGGCAAAAGAAGGTTGGATTTTCCGCTACCAGCCTGCAAGAAGGGAGCCAGTCCACAGAGCACACAAGAAAGCCGACCCAGAGAGAACAACCTGACAGTGTGGGAGTTGTAATGAAAAAAACGCTAAAAAAAGAGCAACGTATGATGTATGGGGAGGCAGACGACAGCCATGAAATTACATCAGAAGGGAGAAAAATCCATCCTTTGCCAAGAAAAACTTTAAGGGGGGGGGAAATCACCAACTCTTGGTGCTCATCATTATTATTCATTTAAGAACGGTGGCAGAGAAACGAAAGATAGTCGTTTTTTTTAATGAGCACCAAATTGAATCACAAATAGGAGGCCAAAAAAAAGCCGTACTAACCGTTCCCACTGTTTTTTGAAACTACTCCCAATTATCCTTCTTGAAACTGTTTCAAGAACTTACAAGAAGTGGGGTGAAAACCTATTAATTTTCCCCTGTAAAGCACCTCCCTTTTTTTTCTTCTTTTTCTCAAAGAGAAGAAAGTTAACTCGATAACAAATTAACAATGTAGTTGAGGATTAACAAAAATTGCAAACTTAAGTAACCACACCGCAAAAGATGCACAGGTAAACTGTGCAACAGACCTCCTACCCCAGTGGGCCCACTCTACTCACTCTGCCTAGTAGGAGTGTTTGCTTCATCCTAAGGCTTGCAAACACTCCACGAAGTAGCTAACGCTACCTAGTACTTCGTGTTCTCACATGTTTTCTTGGCGGTGACTTGAAAAAAAAAGATAATGAAAAAAAATTCAAAAAAATTCAAAAATGAGAAAACCTACAAAATAGTAAATACCAAAAAAAACAGTTAATAGGAGGAACACTGCGACAAAAAAAGCGTGTCCGGAATGTAAAACCCTCAGAGTTCGCGCTCGAGCTGGCGAGTCATGCGTTCCGACCCAGATCCTTGTGCCCGTCGCTTCAGATCTTCTTGTCAAGGTCTACCTAGTAGAAGAATAGCTATTAAAAAAGGGCATTGGCAGAAGAAAATGCACTGCTTTTACCCCCTGTGGGACACATCGGAGTAGTTGGCCCTCACTGTGCAGCTAGCCCCTCTCTTGAATGGCGGCTGCCACCTTCACCCGAATACAACGTACCCGTATTATGAATGTGTAAAAGCTACCGTCTTCGCCCGAACACAGCGCACCCTCATTTTGACTGTATCGGGCTGGAAACATGCCTTGTACGACACACGCATAAATCGAGAAACGGTCCAATTTGTTTTCGAAAAAAAAAAAAAAAAGGAATAAAAAGAAGAAAGGAGGGGGTCGCGTGAACCACCTTTCCCTCCTCCCCTCAATGCGTGCGCCTTGAACGACATTTATGTAGAAAGCAACTCGAAAGAGGAAGGGGGAAGGCGGAAGGGGGAAGGGGAAAGGGGGAAGGGGGAAGGGGGAAGGGGGAGGGGGGAAAGGACGTACGGTAATCGTAGCATAATGAGTGTCGGGGGGGGGCTTTTCTGGTTGAAGTTGCCGTACATGGGACACTGGACCCGGTTTCCAGTAAAGCCTAATCTGGGTATTGGCCCCAGGAATTCCGGGTCGAGATGTTGAGGGATTCCCGGCCTCAGTTCTCCAATTTTCTATAATACAAACTGCGACTTCAAAAAAAAAAAAAGAAAAAAAAANAAAAAAGGGCGGGGGGGGAGCAAAACTAAGGAAAAAAATAAATAAATGCTCTTCGACCACGCCAGTGTAGTTTGGTTAGTTGTAACGGCAAAGGCCGCAGAGCGTTGTGAACCGCTCGATGAAACGACAAGTCCACGAGCTTTGGTTGGCTAATTCGCTCCGTACATAGATAGTCTGCAAGTATGATCATGGTGTTAAATTTTAATAATGATTTTTGATTTTACATAGATGGTCTTCTTTCGAGTATATCTTACTTACTGGTGGATTAAAAAAACAACTCGTGAATTAACTTGGATAAGTTCTGGAGTTGTTTTAGCAGTCTTGAGAACTTTTGACTGTATCTTTTGGAGTCACTGGATATTGTTTACCTTGGAATCGAATTGGGTATTGGGCAGTAAGAGAATTTAAGAGAATTGGGTATGAGAATGTAAGAGAATATATCTTTTGACTGTATCTTTTGGAGTTACTGGATATTATTTACCTTGGGATAAAATTGGGTATTGGGCAGTAAGAGAATGTACTTGACATGACATTGACATTCAATTTGTATCTCAAGGACTAACGGTTGGCAGTGACAGCATTGTCAAAAACGTACAGAACACAGAGAAAGAGAGAGAGAGAGAGGGGGGGGGGGGGGGGGGGGGGGGGGGGGCAGGAGGGAGAGAGGAGAAAGGAAAAGAAAGGGAGAGAGAGAGGAAAAAAGAAAGCGAGGGACTGGGAGAGGCAGGGGCAAGTGCAAGGCTGGGTAAGAGTGTGGAATCGACTACAGGGCATCGAACGTGACGGTTGGCGCCAACTGCGGTGAGCCTGCGGATGTGACACTACTGAATCTGATCAGTTCCGGCCCAGTAGTACACAGTATCTCAATGCAACATCAGCAAGACTACCGGTAGAGATCAACACACAAAGCCAACATAAGATGACGGAAGACAGACACAGAGAGAGAGAGAGAGAGAGAGAGAGAGAGAGAGAGAGAGAGAGAGAGAGAGAGAGATGGTCATCGAGCGGAGCATCGAACTGCTGGAAAAGAAGAAGCACGGCCAGCGAATAAATAAGAAGTAGTGAGTGGGATTGCCAAATACGAAAATAACGCATGATGAGATCATGATGATGATGACCACGATGCTGACTGGTGTGATCGTCAATTAGCATCGCTAGAAAGAGTGGGGTGGGGAGCGGAGAGAGTGGGATGGGGAGCGGGGAGCGGAAAGAACGGGAACGGAAAGAGCGGGAGCGGAAAGAGCGGGAGCGGAAAGAGCGGGAGCGGGGAGTTGCGGAGGCTTGCCATCGAGTTACGTACTGACTGAAAAGAACCGTTGGAAGTTTGCGACCACATTGTGTCATATTCACTGATAGAAATGTGGAAAGACGGACACCGCATATTTTGTCGTATACACGAACTGGGCGCCAACTGGTGGAGGGAGGCTCGGTCGGCCCGCAGAGCCAGAGTAGGGCAATGGTTGAGCAAACACATTGGGCAAATTAGTAAATTATTGAAAAAAAAAAAAAAAGCCCCCCTGCCAGAGCAGAGCAGGCGGAGGAGGGGGGCGGGGGGCTGCAGATTGATGACGAAATGTACCGTTAGATCGATATTAACTAAATAAATAAAAGAAAAAAGAAAAAAGAAAAAAAAAACTAAATAAATAAAAGGACAATATATCGAACCTGCACCCTGATGAGGACTCATACAATATATAATGTACGTACAGATACTAATTAATAGCACATATCTGCATGCATGGCGCTAGATACGCTACAACGATGTATATAATCAAAGAATATATATACATATATACCGTCAAACGGTATATAAAATATAATATCATATATATGCATGTTATATATTAATATAATATAATATATATCTTTAACGTCTATATAATATTTATAATACCATATATATCGTCAAACAGAGCTGCCCGGTAAACCGTTGGCAGAGAGGGAGGGAGGGAGAAGAGTACAACAAACGAGCGGCTGTGACAAACTGTTATCTATTCAGCCTCCTCCTGATGAGTAGGTAGGTGAAACTCCGACGTAACAGTTTGTCACAGCCCCTCGTTTGTTGTCCTCTGCTCACTCTCTGCGTACGGTTTACCGGGCAGCTCTGTTCGACGATATATATGTATATGTATACGACAGTCTGTAGAGTTCTCCGTCTGGTGTGGGTGAGTGATTGTCTGCTTTGATTTTCGTCACAAGTACCTTGAGGGCAGTGGTTGGTGGTCCCCACCACCTCAGAGGGGTATCAGTTGTCGGGCAGTCGTTGATGCTTAACCAACCACAACCGGGGTTAAGGTGGATTATCACTTACAGTGTAATCAGTTAGGTAGGGGATTCTGCAGACTGTTTTTGAGGGTTCAGCCTCCTGATGAGTCGGTGAAACTCCGACGAAACAGTTTGTCACAGCCCCTCGTTTGTTGTCCTCTTCTCCTTCTCCCCCCCTCTCTGCCCCTACGGTTTTACCGGGCAACAGAACTGCCCGGTAAACCGTATGCAGAGAGGGAGAAGAGGACATTAAACGAGGGGCTGTGACATAGGTAGATTATCATTTACAGTGTAATCAGTGAGGGGATTCTGCAGACTGTTGAGGGTTCAGCCTCCTGATGAGTCGGTGAAACTCCGACGAAACAGTTTGTCACAGCCCCTCCCTCGTTTGTTGTCCTCATCTCTCTCTCTGTCTACGGTTTACCGGGCAGTTCTGTTTGTGACGATATATATATATATATATATATATGACGATATATATATATATATATAAATTCATATAACTCTTTTTGACTATGCATAACGGAATGAGCTTTCCCGCCAAAATCATTCTGTGATTATTCGACGTGGCAGTTGCACAAGGTCAATCACAGAGCTGACTCAGCACGCGCCAATGCCACGCGGCACGACAACATGACACCGAATTTAACAACCGTTTTAGACACATCATTTTGGCGGGAAGCTCATTCCGTTGTTGTTATCTTGGAGATCGCCCGCCAAAATGAACGAGTTTCCCGCCAAAATACTGAGCCGTTTCACGCCTTCTGGGCCATTTTGGCGGGCACAACAGACCACTCCACATGAATGAACTTCCCGCCAAAGTCATGCTTCGCTCCGTCTCCGGGGATGGTGCTGACCCACTTTTTTTTTTTTTTTTTTTTATTAAGCCAGACCAACGTCATTCTTGCACCATGCACACTTCCACGTGGCCGGACGCTATATTTTCCTCTTTTCCTCTTTTTAAACCAGTCGTCTGTTTACCACCAGTTGTTGCGTGTCCCCCATCTTTCGCAGCAGGATTCCAACTCGTCATCTGTGTACTAGGACATCTTTAACGACCTCCCCGATCAACGTGAACGAATGAACGAGCTTCCCGCCAAAATGACACGTCGTTTAGCGCCTCTCTGCGGTTTACGCGGTCGCACAGACCAACACAACTGCACAACGTCGTTCGTGACACTGAATTGCATTCGTCCACCATCGCGTGTCTACTGTTGTTCTCTCTCTCTCTCTCTCTCTCTCTCTCTCTCTCTCTCTCTCCTTTTTTTTTGGTGTTTGTTGAACTTTGTTCTTGTTCTTAACTAACCTAGAGATCATTTCTTCGCCTAAGAGAAAATAATGAGCGGCCTGGCTTTTCGCTAAAGACGTTATGCATGGGTTCACAACGTGATGTCTCAATTGCCGCCAAAACACAATCATCATGCGGACCACTGTGCGCTTCGATGACCCGGCGCCCTTTGCGCACTAATTACTCGCTCGTTCACTTCGCACTATTTACGCAACCGAACAACTGCACAAAGCACAGGAAAAAACGCCCTCTGTGTGTCTGTCTGCATGTGTGTGCTTGTGTGAGCGTGTGTGGGCGTGTGTGCGTGTGTGCGTGTGTGCGTGTGCGTGCGTGTGTGTGCGTGTGTGCGTGTGTGCGTGTGTAGGGGCCTCTTCACACTACGCACAGTTCGGTGAGTGGTGCGGCGAGGTCGTGTGCGTGTGTGTGTGTGTGTGTGTGTGTGTGTGTGTGTGAGAGAGAGAGAGAGAGAGAGAGAGAGAGAGAAAGAGAGAGACAGACAGACAGACTCAGGGTTTTATGAGTGTGTATGTGTGCCTGTGTGTGCGTGTGTGTACGTGCGTGTGCGCGCGTGTGTGTGTCTGGGTGGGTGGGTGGGTGGGTGGGTGGGTGTGTGTGTGTGAGAGAGAGAGAGAGAGAGCACTGACCAGTTAAATGTGTGACAGAGTCACAGAAGCTTTCGTTTCGCGAATGCAAGAAAGTACAGCTAGCCACGGGGCGTGTCCATGCAAGCGCAGGTAGCAGCCTCTGAGTCTGCGACCGTCATGCACCGTGCAGTCGACGCCGGGAGAATGAGCGTCCGCGGTCGCGCCTGCTCGGTGATTGCAACAGCCTCGCTCTGTCCCCACCAAAGGCCCGTATCTGTTCTATCCATATAAGTCATCCCCGTGCGTACTTGTTTTCAGGCATACATACGAATCAGTCAGTTTGCCCATCTACGTGCAACGGTCGTCGACGTCCTCGACCGTCCTCGAAGTCGACCAACTGGTCTAGCTCAGTTGGTACACCCTTGAGCTGTTGAGATAGACACCTGGGCCGTGGTCCCATCAGCCAAGAGCACTGGGTGTCTGCTTTTACCAGTAACCCTAGCAGTCGACTGGGATGTTTGTTTCAAAAAAAAAAAAAAAAAAAAAAAGCAAAGAGCATTGGACTGAATGCCTGAATCTGGACGTGTTTGAGGACAGGAGCAGGAAATCGAGATAGAACTGCCTTTCTGTATATCTGCATAAAACATAGCCAGATTCAGGATTTCTATCCTACCCCCTTCGCTAGTGGGACCACGCTCCTGAGCTCGAACTCGGACGAGCGAAATACTACAAACTTAAAATAAAAAAAAATAAAAAACTACAAAGTTACAAACAGTAAAAAA